GAGGTGCCAGTCTCATCCTCTTGTATCTCCCACGCTCCTCAGGAGATGAAAGAAAATGTTTCTCCCGGAGCCTGGCCTTCATAATTCCATTCCATCACAGACCTTGACAACTGCAACCAAAGAAGAAATGGGAATTCTACTTTCCTTCTAGCTAAACTCAGTCTGGATGGAAGGAGGGATGGGAGATCTCATATGCTTCAACTGATGAAGAAACGGTAATAGAAGATGGGCACAATGCCTTCCAGCCACTCATGACCAAGAGATGGAAAGGGGAGAAGCACCTGATACTTTTAACTTCAAGGGGAATAGGAAGAAGAAAATAGAGAGGAGGTGTTATAAGGGCTGAATTTGGCAATTCAAGATTCAGAAAAAGAGAGCGAGCTATTACACAAATATACTTCAGCTATGTCCAAGTATCCATGGACTCAGAAACGCAGGAGGAAAAAGACTAGAGTTTAAACTCTAGAATATACACTTATATAAAGGCCTTGACTTCTTTGCACTGCAGAGAACAAATAATTTGTTATATACAGCACAACGTTTTATTCTTGTCCACAATAAAGTCTCTACTTTAGGTGAATCATACCTGAGTGTCTTCTACCAAGTTTAGCGGATTGCTGAATAAAGGGTTAAGTGTCTGGAGAGCTGAGATTTACTGCTCTGTCCTGATGTAAAACCTGACAGTAAGTATGCTAAATGTTGTTACACAACAAATGTACTTACTTTAGGAAATGTCAACTGAGTATTAAATTTTATGTGATCTGAGAAAGGATGTTCTTTTATTTTTAAAGAAAAGCAGCCGACTGGTAATGATCCAGTCAAAGATCATCAGCAAATAACCATGTCTTCCACCTACTTCTGCTCTACTGAAATTGTGCTTTTCAAGCTAGAAATGCAGAAGCCTTCATTCAGTGTCTCCTCCAGCAGAGATAATAAGGAAATCTCCAATAACAACTATTCCTACATGCACTCTTTTATAGTTCCTGGACACTGTGAAGTAGAAGACTACTTGCTGTACCTGTACTCTAACTAAATATACAGAAACAAAAATAAAAACAAAATACAAATAAAAAGCTATATGCTAAAATTATTGATGTTCAATTTATTTCAGTCAACCATATCTCCTTCTAGCTATTATTGTATGTGTGCACATGCATGTATGTCTGTATGTGTATATGTGCATGCATTTTTTTTTTTTTATCCGCACTCAGTCGTTACTGACTCTGCAGTGACTGCCTGGATGAGTCCTTGCAGTTTTCAAGGCAAGGTGTTTCGGAAGTGGTTT